GCCAATCTACAAATTGTGATTGTCCTGTTGTTGAGCAAGTAGAGGAAATTAAATATCTGGGATTACACTTAGACTCAAAGATAAATTGGAAACGCCATATAGATTATGTTAAGAATAAACTAATACAATACGTCAGGATATTTTATATGTTAAAAAATATGTGTAATCAACGCCTACTCATAAATATTTATTATGCGATGATAAATTCTAAATTGGAGTATGGTCTAGCTATCTATGGAGGAGCTTACTTTTCGTCAGTTAAGCCATTAATTGTCTTGCAAAAAACCTTTATAAGGATAATTTGTAACAAATGTAGAACAGAACATGCAGCACCACTATTTAAAAAGTTAGAAATTTTGCCTTTGAGAAATCTATATATGTATAAAGTTTTACGAATATTTTATAAAAGAAGTGGAGATGAGGTTGAATCTATGTCTGAAAGGAGGATAACATTAAGAAATAGGTATAATGCAATAGTTCCAAAACCAAATTTAACAGCTTTCAAGAAATTTTATTTATACCTTGCCCCTAAAATGTTTAATGCTCTACCATCCAATCTCAAAACCATCTCAGAAGCAGATTTTTCTAGGCAGCTGTGGCCTTATTTATTATGTTTGGAAAATGCTGAAATGTACTTTTATGGAATTTAGTATATATACAGTAGTATAGAAGTGACTAATATAGATAATAAGTAATATAAATACTTACTCTGTTGTATTATTTTTGTTTGTAAGTGTATTGACTTTTTTTACTCTGTACTGAAGAAAGAAGATCACTGTGTAGAACTCACTCTCACTGTATATATTATAACCAAGTGACCGGACAAAACCGCCTCTTCGATTTTTAGAACATAAGATAGTGTATAAATCCACCAACATAGGTTTTTAACCTAAGGTGGTTATTGTTTTTTTCTTTTTTCATGTGTAAAAGTATTTTGTGTTGTGTATGGAAAAAACAATAAAGATTTCTAAAAAAAAAAATTTTTATAGGAGAGTCTATGAGCAATGTTTTTCTGGTTAAGACGTCTCGTTCGAACAGTTTTTTAGCCAAGAATTTTTAAATATAAATAAACTATTATAATCAAATGCAGTAAGAAAAATATATTATATACAGACTTATGACTTATGGTAAAGGAAAAATGTATTAAGTCTCCGGTTACTTAGGAAGTTTTTTTTAGTTTTTACAAATTACCTGATAACACCAAAATAAATATTTAGATAAATGTTAAATTTATTGTCAACTTTAGCTTAATAAAATGATTTGATTTGATTCTATAAATAAATATAATAACAAAAGCTATGCACCACACTACAATTTAGTTTCTTACACAAAGTTATACTATAAAAACCTTCACCCTTTATCGTGGTACTAAATGGTTTTTTATCTATGGTACTAAATTTCAAAGGGTGTGTACATTTAAGCAATTTTACAATAACACAAGTCCCTAAACTAGACAAAGCAGTATTTCATTACTGATAAAACCACTCTATGGTACAATTCTGTGTCAATGCAGTAGTAGTCTCTGTCATGGAACACCTGAGGTTTTGAAAGTTATTACAGCTACGTTAATCCGTGAGGTAAACTGTAAGGTTTTTAGTGAAATTGTATTTGGGGAATATGATTTTTCCTTAAATCTCATATTATTCTAGGCCAATAGTGTGTTTTATAAGAAAATGTGTCATTCTCAAGAAACCTTTCCATGAAAATTATTTTCAGAGTGGAGTCGGTTGTAGTTCATCGCTGCAGCGGTTACCTTAAGTAAACAACGATGGAAGTCGTTGAAGTGGGCCGAACACTAAAAGTTATTTTAAAATAAGCTTCTGAAACTAGTCCGCCATTTGAGCTACACGTGTTTCTGGTATTTTTGCAGTGAAATGGTATCCAAACAATACTCCTTTACACTTGTTTTATAATCATTTAAAAGCAAATAATTGATTAACACAACTAACTTCTGAGTTCAACAGGTAGCTAATAAGTTGTAGGCTATCATTAATTATCAAAACAAAAATAAGGTTATTAAAGAATATTTTTATTTAATGTATGCATGTTATTTAAATTGATTTGTGGGTATTTCAAATAATTCGCTTTACAGATTTTTATCCTTGTATAATGGTACTCAATTTTTAAATGTTTTACCCATACTCATAATATAATGTTATACAAGAATATTCCTTTTTTTAGGGAAAAAGCATTTATGCACACAGGTGGCTAGCCTGTAGTGTGGGACTCCAACGGGTTTAAACCCCAGAGACTACCCACTACACTTCAGACACTAGCCCGGGAACACTACAAGAATATTAGCACACCCACAAAATAAATCATATAAAAACATATTTGGTTTTGATATAACATAGGAGCACAAAGATAAAATAAAACAAAAACCTCACTACGGAATGATGATTACCAGGATAATTGTGATAAAAAATGAATTAAACTGTTTGTATTTGTTTAAAAAACATATTGTTTTACAGACAAGCATTTATTTACATAACAAACTGCGGAAGGTGTAATCGAGTATTTCTTTTAACAATATTATGTATTATACAATACTTTTTAAGGACAAAAAATGTATTGCCACGCATTGTTTATCTGAATTGTAATATTTAATAATACATTTTTAATCATATTAAATGTTAGGTATTGAATTAAAAACAAAAGAATTGTTATTCGACAACACACACAATATATTTGCAGGATTCAAATCTATACTGTGTCCATTATGTTAAGATAATTACGTTCACAGAAAATCGTGTATTGCCAAAAATATTGCAGAGAATAAAATTTTAAATATATTTAAAACAAAGTAATGGAGTATAATACGATGGTAATGTGTAAATAACCTGAAAAAAGTCTGCACTAAAGAAAGTTTTTTATGGATACCGTGCCACCTTAATAAAGTAGGTCTATTTAAAATGGCATATAGGAGAGGCTAAGTACTTAGTCAAAACGTGTTCAAAACATTACGCCGGTAAACATGAGAACTGCCAGCTTCGTAAGCAGGTATGATCTTCACACAATGTAGACTACATAAATCATCGTAGGCTCATGTAAGCTTAAAAATACATCATAAAGTAACACAATAATTTTATTAGTAACACATATTGTCAATAAAAATAATGCAACAATAATAACTTATTATACCCACAACAAAATCATATTTTACGCTGACAAATTGCAATTTTATTGTTCCTTTGAACAGTCAAGCTCTACAACGGCTAAGTTGTACAAGTGCAACATAAACAAGACAAGACGCACAACATGTCGCCCAGCTGATAAATGTGTCTTGGCTATTTTGTGTGGAACGGTTTTATAGCGTTCTCTTCCGCCAACATCGGCGCTCCCTTGGACATTCCAAGTATAATGTTAATTTACGTTTTACGTGAAATAAAAAGAATCATACTTTAAAAAAAATGCATGAAGTTCAAACTTACATTTGTTAGTACTAAATATTTACACATTTCAGGCCTCTTTAAATTAGGCCTGTATTTTAAAATTTAATGGTTTTCAAGAAAAATTGGGTTTTGGTTGTACCATTGACGTCTGGTAAGACGGGTAAGACCTCCTATTTATATAGGGCAGCTTATAAACGCATTACCATATGGATGGAGCAGTAATACCCAATTTTGTTTTAAAGTAAATTGCATAGTTGTTGATTGCGTTACAGAGTGTTAATTGTGATAGATGATATAACTAAAACCTGATATAACTTATAATGAATACCTTTCAGGTTTGCTTAGTTACAAAAGCTGTGTAAGACAAAAATCAACAATTCTTCCATTTTACACTTTATTGAATCCACGCCTTCCAATTCAATCTACACCTTATTCTCCAATTTGCATCACTCTTTCGGTCGCGTGATTCAACTACGTTCTAAAACTGGCTGCAGATCGGAAATAAATGTCTGGTTCTTTCAAAACAGTTTACTAGAGCATCACAAAGAAGCCACACAACAAGAAAAGCGCATCTTAATTTTGTATGTTTTCTGTCTTTTTTATGGTAAGTCACCATTTGATTTTTATTTAGAAAAAAATCTAATGGTGTCTGTCGTTGTGTTTTTGGTTTGGAAGCTTTGATAAGCGTGGTTGATAGTACATTTTATTCTAGTTTTGTTTGTATGATGACACCGTATTTTAAAAGTAAAAATAATTACTTAAATGACGATTATAACGAAAATTATCATCGCTTTCTGCCGAATGTTACACAAGCAAATGCACGCTGTGTGATTTCATACATTTAGGCAATTTAAACTTTAACTGAGAGATTGAATATTGGTACTAATAGAAAAGTTGCATTTATTTGATCAAAAATTAAATTCGTAAACTTTAGATTAATTAAGAGAGTTTTTTCTATATAATGACAAAATACCTTTAAATTATTTAATATATTTTATGATAATGTCAGGAATTAAAACTCCACTAACAACAAAATGTCATGGTTTCTATGAATGAGGTTTTGTGTCGGGTTTTAGTATTTCTTAAATGAGTAAATTATTACCACGGACGATTTCCTTTCAATTAAATGACCAAAAATCCCTCACTTTTTCATATGAAAGGAACACAATAATGGTCAAACAGTTTGATTAAATAAATGTACGGTGCTTTAATAATGGGTTTGATAAAGTATGCAAACAATATTTACTAAATTAATGGTTTTCCTGCAATTTAGCATAACATATTTCAGAAAGCCCCTTTTCTTTTTAATGGTTCAAAAGTTTTTATTCATATTTTGCACAAAGATAGTGGCTAGAAAGTGATCATTTTTTCAGAATTGCAACGCTGTGGCTCAAACAGAATAGAATTTATTTGTAAAAAGCACATACAGACAGACGCTTAACGGTTCAAAATAGGGCAAATGTCGATTTTGTTGTATATTTTCCTTGTTTTCACCTCCCGAATAATCTGATAAAGTTTGTCCTAGTTGAAGCTGGTATATAGATATTTAAAAATGCACGCAACATTTATTTGAACAACTTTTACTGACATATTTCGTTAATGTTTCAGCTGGGATGAACCTGTCGGAGGTAGACATGGTGACGGTGGATTTCAACCGGACAAACCTCATCTCTCCCGAGGTAAGTGTCAAAGTGTCGAGTAAAGTAACTTAGCCTACTTGTATGATGACATAACACATTAATCTCACAACACAAAAATAGGACGTAGCATAGGATATCGTAATATTTACGTTGTACAACATAAGTATAAAACGTACAATTGGTACAACAATGTAACACAAATTTGGAATACTATTTTGAAAACATAACGCAAAATTTCACATTAGGAAACAAACAAACTTAATCTAATTAGGTAGTTTTTTTTACATTTATTTTAATTTAAAGTGGAATAACTAACCCACAATTATCCATCCATAATGGTATCATCTAGACATTTCTTTGGACACTGCAAGCAAACATCTAACTTTTAAAGTCATCTGAATAATCTGAGTCCTGTTTTGATTATTGCATGGTCACGTTTGAGTACCCTGCCGACGACTAAATGTTTTTCTTAAATATTTTACGGTATTTCAATATTTTATTTAAGCTTTAATTATTCTACTAGACGCTACGAAGTAAGCTACAAATAAAAAAAAAACTTAAAAAATATTCGACATAATGGACGTAAACGTTTTAAATCTCTCTGATTAACTATATGGATTAAAACTTAATACTACAATGGTTTTTAATCCATGATACTATCTTCTTGAAATAGATTCGTCTATACGCTGTAGGTTTGAATTTCCGTGAAGGTTCCGTATTAGGGCACAAGAGCAATAAACCACTGGTATCAAGGTCATAAAACAAAGGGCCGCCATGAATAGATAAATTTCGCGTATCAGGGTGGGTCCTGGTACTTGACCTTAGATAACTCAGTCGATGAGTTTACCTTGGGATAAATTAATCATCGTGATTGTGAAATATATTTCTACCAAAAGGCTATAAATTCCGGTAAGGTTATTTGTATCTGTTAAGGTGTTAAGAAAGGGCGTTTGTCGTGTTAGGGAATTAGAGGAAAAACTAACATTTATATTGTCTGTAAGAAATATAAAGAGATGGACCAGTAGAATTTAAAGTTTTCGTTGTAGAAAACTAAAGAAATAAATGAAAAATTCTTGTGAGAACTTATTATTTACTACAACTTTTGTGATTAGATGTTTTTACGTGTCCCTTATTTTGTTTTTGTTCCTAGTTATAAGTTTTGTTGAAAGTGAGTAGGTTATTCTTATCTCTTAGATTTGACTCACTTAATTTTCTGAACATAAGTATTTGATTTGGTTAGGATATACTGTATTTAAAACCACACATTATATCAATCATGATTATTGTAATCGAACACTAAAACACTACATAAACAGTGAATAAATGTGTGTTTAATTGGAACACCATTTATTTAGGTGATATTCGGTCGATGTGCCCGGTCTCAAACTAGCAAAGTTTTTTTTTCTTATCTGCTCAATACAATACTACTGAGCGACCGTTTTTTGTGATCGTTTGGACTATTCATAAATTATTTTACAATAAATTATATTGCCATGTGTTCTCTGTATGTTTAATAATATCTATTAAAATATACAAAACGGTAAAAACAGTTTAAAACTATTCGGGAAAGCATCAGTCCATTCGTTATGATGCCTAATCAAGCTATAATCCAAATTAAAGTGCTACTTCACAAAACACAACTTTACAACATAAACCCTTATAGCACAATATACAGCAATATACACAATGCACAATATGTACAAGAATCTATTGTAACAATCCATGTACATTGCAGACAGTGAGTGAAGAGATGGGTAACACCGGCTTCACTGTCCATGTATCTATCGGGTTTTTTTTAACTTTAATTCTTTGCACTATCCTTTTTACTTTTTGAGACAGTATCTCCGCACTTAAAGGATAACAATTTTACCGTGTCATAAAAAATGCAATACATCATTGATGCAAAAGATTTATAATCTTGACGATAATGATAAAAGGAAGTAAAAGGTGTGTTGCTTGATATTGATGATTTAATGGGTTAGCAATCAGTTATTCCTGATTCTCTATTCTAATTTCTTGTGAGTTTCAGTAAAAAGCTGAATATAAAATTTACAATTATGAAACTATTAAATCAATTAAATGTAATTTGGTTTATTTTTACTACAAATGTTTAAAAAAAGTCACAACGCGAAAAAGTTTTCCATGAAAACTTAAAATGATAAAATTGAAAATACTTCGGTACTAATTACATTAAAATGTTAACAAATAAATATTAAGAGCTTACTAAAATTTTAATGAGGTTCACTTTAGAAGTTTCCAAATACGTCTTTATACTAAAATATTAATTAATTTGTTTATTTATGATTTATTTTGTAATAATCGAGTTTTTTTGTTTAACACAAGTGAATTTTAGATCTTTAATTATAAGTATGGCAGTAGAATGAAATCAATAAATGATACATGAAGAATCACAACGTGATGTTTAGGTAAAATATCTAAGTACAAACAAATAATATGATTAAAGTTCGATTTTTCGAGTAGCAACATAAAACACATCCTACATTTCTGCACCTTATGTAGTATCCTTCCATGAAGATATACGTGGGTTGGGGGTGGATTGAGGACCTCCCCAGGGATTATAGTTCTCGTAAACTACAGAATATATCTTAACTTCCAAATCCTTGAAGAATTAAAGGTTTGAGGTCAACATTAGTTGGAATTACTGCATGCAGGCCAGTGATAAGTTTTATTACAAGAAATTATTCAAAAGGTTCAACAAAAAATACAATTCATGAATATAAAATTAATTGGCTGAAGAACCAAGTTGTTGTAGTGCTCACCTTCAAATCTGGAAGTCGCTAGGATCGTTTCTACACTTTTGAGCTATCTATCTTTAGGCTATTAATTAATTAAAGTTCAAATTAATTGAAGTTAAATCTTATTTACAGCCATTAAAACAGAATGTTAACGTTTGTTAAAAACAATACCTGAGTTTGAACGTTCCTTTAAAAAGGAAAAGTCTTAAAGTAATGTTACAGATTATTTATCAACTTAAATAAGAAGTATCAATTTATTAATAATGTTAATGACGATAAAATAAACATGTTTTGCAATTCAACTAAGCAGCTTATGCTGGTTGGAATAATAATGTGAACAGAAATCAGAAAACCCTGTTTTACGCATACCTTTCCCGAAAGTGACATGAAAGCAGGAAACATATCTTTAAATTATCTCACAACTTAAATTATGTAAAATATTGCTTGAACAACTAACGATTCTTCAAGAAGAACCGGTAATATTGGAATGAATAAAATTTGAAATATAAACTTCACTAATATTTTAAGAATTTTTAATTTCATGAGGCCTTTCGCCATAGCATAGTTGGCGAAAGGCCTCATAAAACTAAAAATTCTTAAAATATTGGTCAAGTTTTTTTATTTATTTTTTTTATTTATAACTAACAATTGCTTTTTGGTAAAGATGTTGTTGTGTGTATTTAAATGCGTATCCGGTTCAATATTGGAAAACAATATCAACAGTCGTGTTTTTTTAAAGGACAAAATACACTTTACATAGACAATATTTTGATGCTGCATGAGAAAAATTAATGTTTAACGGCGTTTCAGGATATTGAAACTCCTACCTTCTTCAGGTGAGGAGAAACGTAAACGTATTCATATTTTAGATTTCATAACAAAGTAAAGTTCTTTTAATAATCAGCCACGGAAATCGTCCGGAAAAATCCTACCAAGATTGTAATTTATTTTATGTCGTAAATATGAAATATAAATCATGAACGAATTACTTTAAAAAATACAACTGATCAAGAAAGACTTTTAAACGACTTCTGTATTAAGGTAGGGATTAATTAATAATAATTTCAAAAACCAGATCACAACGTGAACTGGAGTAGTTTACAGTTTACCTAAAACATTTAACAAGTCATGAATCGCTACTAAGATATAGGCTACCATAGCCTGTGTATAGTGTTCCTCAACTGGTCCGTATATTATAATTTATACACTTTGCAACGCTTGCCATGTTTTCTTTAATAGCTTTGTAGCACTTGCAAACTGTTATAGCCTGATATACCCAGCCATAGTGGAAACTATCGTTGCTTTGCAACTTTAATAACATCATGTAGTACCAGGGATATGATATTAACATTCAAAACAACCATATGTTTGTGGTTTAGTCCTAGAGAAACACAAGAAACTATTGCGTTATTTCCATCATAAGATTATTTTCAATCCAACCCAACCCACAAAAGTAGGAGGAAGACCTTTTTCAAAAAAATTAGACGCGAATTAATCTTTTTCGGACTGGAGTATGGTGACATAAATATTGGAAGTTTACGTGGGGACAGATGTTTAAATTGATCAGTCATGGTTGGTTATAAGATTTTAAAGTTACATATAGTTCTATATAAAACATCTGTTGTAACGCCAGATCCTCATTTTAAGGTTTATGTGGAGATTTCGGTGGTTTTATCAAAACGTGATGCGAAGCTTCAAAAGCTTGCTGCCTTTGATTCGTTTTTTACATCCATTCATTTAATCGTAAAGTTTATCCAAAAAAGGTTTATATTTTATTCCAAGACAAAAGCTGTTTTACTGCGTACTTAGCGGCAATCCTATTGTACACAGACAAAAAAATTCAAATAAATGTAGTTAAGAGTTTTAATACAAATACAGATTGGCACTTACGTATTATACCGACCACACCTAATAATTATAACCTAACCTAGCCTAACCTAAGGGGAAAAAGCATAGGATTTTATATTTATTTATATATTTATTTGACGACCTAGCAATCGGGTCGAATTTTACACAAGAGGTCAATCTTCTCCTTACCAACGTACCGGTTGCCTAATCCCATGTTGCTCCGTCGTGTCATGTACGCGAGTGAGCGGAGACCAATTAATTACAATACACGGCATTGTGAGTTGAAACTGTCATCCTAGAAATCGCCAGAACGCCAGAAACACTGCAAACGCATAAACAACAAACCAAACACATACTGTACCTACAAATATTTAACAGAATACAACAATTCTGAGATGGTTAGAAATAAATGATTTCAATACTTTAAGATTGAAA